CATTGAATTAAGAGAAAGTAGTTACATATCTATCCTAACTATTTTAAATATACAGATACAAAATGGTTCTTCATTTGTATCCCCTTTTACTGTTTAGTTTTGTCAGAGATGGGTATTCCATTGCCATTTAAATATCGTAGGTGTGTGAATTCAGCAAAATATTCCAATGTAGTCCAGTAGCCCATAATAGTAGTGGTTACCTGTAGGACTGGCAATGTCAGAAGTTGACTTGAGCCTTTTAACAGCTCAGCATATTAATGTGGCTTTACTTTTTATACTTCTTTTTCATACTTTTCTGCTGGATGCTTAAGATCAAGATAAAGCAAGACCTATATAACAAGAAATGTAACTTTGGTATCTGACAAGGTCAGTCAAATCCCCTCAGGATTTATCCTGAAACCCTGTACCTCAGTTTGTAGATGCTTTGTCAGTGTCAGTCATATGGATGAGTCATCAACATTGCTTGACCAATTTGCTCTCTGTGAAAGCCTGAGAGAAGGTTTTCTGTCCATGTGACTCTTCTGAGGCACACTCTACATCATTGATCACTTTTCTCTGAGGTGGACATTGGGAAAGTTGAGGAATATGGCAAATAAAGTTAATTTTCTTGAAGAAGCTGAAGCATGTTGAACATACTGTGTGATCATCCCATACCATGCCGTCCTATCTTCTATAGATGGAGATTTAGAAATTTTAACAAAATGAAAGCCATGTGTGAGCTTCAGAATGTTTTTTTAACCAAAATTTCTTTTGGAATTTATGTTCATAATTGATTCTCAAAGAAACATTTAAGTATTATATCAGAAATAAAGTAAGAAACTTAATACAATTGATACAATTTGCTCAAGATTCCTTATCTAGAAACAGCCAAATAAATTCAACAGCCAAAAGAAGAAGAAAGGGACGGTATGGGTTAAACTGACTAAAAAGCTAAACTTCTATCTAGCATCTGGTATGTATTGCACAGTCATACTCTTTTACTGAATCCTCCCAGCCATCCTATGAAGTATCATTGCCCCTACTTTGATAATGAATGAAGGGAGGCGGTGCTATGCTTAACCTGACTAACGATCAAAACACAAGTTTCCTCACACCACATGGAAGCCTCCTCCAAGAAACTATGCTGCAATTATTCATTTACTCTCTTATTTAATTCTACACATATTTGTACTACCATGTGCTCAAAATGGGAGACACAATCCTAGGTCCAGAGAAGACAGCCTTGAGCAGAGGAAGGTATCTATCTAAAGGGAATTTAATTGCACCAGAAAACAAAACAAAATGTGCTTAGATAGTCATTTCACTCTTCCTGGGAACTGCACCATTACCCAGCCATTCACCCCAAGAACAGCAGCTGGCATCCGTGATGAGGGCTGCTGGGAAATTACTGTGCAGCTCTTTACACATTACTGTTGCTGTATTATGTTGTTTTGAAAATGTTATGATGTTAAGTGAACAAGGTAAATTCTTCTGGGATTTTTTTCTATAAGAATCAGCTTGGATGAGAAAACTAAGTTATTGAGACTATCAAGGCTCTTTCTTTATGCAAAGTAAGCTTTTAAGGAACCCCTGTGCTCTGAGTCAGAGGAATGAGCCCATCAGTTTAAGTAAGTATGAATAATTATGGAAACCTAGAGGGAAAAGCATGGTAAAGATGTGGAAAGAGACTAAATTTTCAGCGAAAAGACGAAATATATAATTCTATCAGTTCCTTAGCATTCTGCATGCCATCTGAAGAACAGTAAATGGAGTAAGAAAAATCCTCCCACTTTTACCTTGAATCAAGCAGTGGGAAAGAGACCTAAGTTTGGACCATATTGTTTGAATTATAATTATACTTTGAATTGTGACTGAATTCATTCATCTGTCTTCTATTAAATCTAGAGAAACACATATTGTATCAAAAGATGTAAAGAGTTAGGAGGTTGAAGTGGATGAGAAAAAGAGACAGAAGAGTCTATTTTTGATGAAGTGTGAATGGAAAGACAAAGTGAAGTAACATAGTTGCGTAAAGTAATGTTCTAACATAGACTTGAAGAAGCAAGAGTGTCCCACATAAAAGGTACAGCAGTAAAAGGTTTCAAGTGGGACCTATCTTCAAAAACAGTCTTGAAGAATAGCAAAAATCTCAGAGTACCTGAAATAGAATTCACCAAAAGAGAAGATGGAATGGGGTAGGCAGAAAGGAAGGTGGCGCAAAGGCCATGGCAGGGCCCTAAAGGCCAAGCTTAACATGGAGATATGTGAAGCCAACAGAAAACTTTGAAAATGGGAATAACACAAACAGATCAACTTTTGCAATGTTTGCTTTGGTTTCTGTATTTTGTAAGGCAAAAATGAAATAAGAATGAGATCCTTTTGGTGGGGAGATACTGAATGGGGTGATGCCGAATGCTAGAAGTATTTCAAAGCCAGAATCTTTAGGACTTGGGTAACCGTGAGATAGGATGTGAGCACGAGAGAGGAGTAGAGAATGGCTTTGGGATGTTCAGTTTAGCTATCAGCAGAACCAGTATCATTTACTAAGGCAGGAAGGATTTCTGGAGTAGCAATTGTTGTAAGGAAATTCATTTTTTTATTAATTTTACTGAGAAACAAATAGCAATGAGACAGTTTCAAAACAGGTTAGTAGAACAGTTATAAAAATTAATACATTGCATTGTTTTCTTCATAGTAATTATTCATAGTACAAGATGCAGACATGATATCCTGTCTAAACACTATTAGTGTAAATCTTTCTTCTCATTGAATTAAGAGAAAGTAGTTGTTTATCTATTTTTAACTATATGTATATATATTATATATAATATAATATAACATAACATAATATAATATCATATAATATATTTCACTACAAAATGGTCCTTCATTTATATCACCCTTTTTTGTTTAGTTTTGTCAGAGATGAGTATTCCATTGCCATTTAAGCATTGTATGTATGTGAATTCAGCACAATAATCCTATATAGTCCAGTAGTCCATAATAGTAGTTAGTTATCCAAAGGACTGACAATGTCAGATGTTGTTGACTTGAGCCTTTTACAGTATATTAATATTGCCTTACTTTTTCTACATAATTTTTATACTTTTATGCTGGATGGTTAAGACCATTAGACAAGAGAGAAAAGTCTAACTAAAACTTGATCCAGGTCTATCACCATGCGCTAAGGAAATTCAAAAGTTCAGTTTTTGACATGTTAGGTTTGAGATATCTAATTAGCATTTAGGTGCAGATGTCAAGTTGAACATTGAATAGGAAAATTTTTGGTTCAGTACTGAGTTCTAGTCTCCATGTAAGAAACTGAAATTGGAATTGGAGTCTTGAGCAGCCCTCGAATGGGATAATAGCAAAGGGATAAAGAGCTTAGGAGAGTGAGCTCTTGGTCTCCCCACAAAAGTGGGAAGTTGGCATTAATCCAAAAAAAAAATAAAAATTCCTATGTTGTGAATACACATAAAAAGACACCAAAGAAATTGTCTCTTACCCAGCCAGATAGCTCAGCAGACTAAAGCTCCTGCTTAGTCAGAGCACAGTGGCAGGGTTCGATCCCTGTCTTTCCACGCTGTCCCCACCCCTAGGGTATACTGAGATGGCAACTGAGACTGGGTGTGGTAGCATGCACCTATAATCCCAGTGCTTGGGAGGCTGAAAACAGGAGAATCACTACAAGACTGATCTATGTAGTGAGACCCTGTACACCCTGTAGACCCTTCCCTAAATTCATAAAAAAAATTTAAAAAAAATGTGTTTCCCATAGGAAGAAATAACGGATGAGGTTCATACTCATGTGTAAGATGCACTGACTATTGAGTTTGCAGCTAATGGACCACTGGAGAAGCTAAAATAATAATTTCTGTTGAGTGTAGAGTGGATTAACAGAATAAGCAAGAGTAGAGAAGTTTGAGCATTTCTGACAAGTGGAGTAGCAGAGATGAGAGTGGAGTAGAAGACATCAATCAAGTCTTTTTTGTATTTTTTGTAACTTTCATTTTCAGTAAGAGTCCACAGCATATAAAGATTGCATTCATTGTGAGGAGCTGGTACATGTACATAGTACATCTTAATTCGTTTTTCATTTCCCTCCCTTCTTCCTCCTCGACTCCTTAATCTCTTTGTCCCCTTCTTTTTTGCAAAAGAAAAGAATGACTTCTAAGCTTAAATCCAAAATTTTCCAACTGACTTCATTCTTTCCCACAGCTGGTCACAATCCTCAACCTCTGCCTCTTTCAATATCAAGGAACTCTTTCACTGAATTCACTCATATATTCACTCACCCAAATTCTTCCCAGATTTTATATAATGACAAGAATAGTACTAGACACTGAGGTCAAGTTTTAAAAACACAAGCAAGATCCCTGCCCTTATTGAGCCCCTGGTGTCACATGAAAGATTGTCGGAGCAAGACAAGAGCCAACTAATTATGAATAAACAACACAGGAGCTCACGGGACAATTCGTTGCCAGGAAGCATGCACCTCTGAGAGGAGTAGGGCCTTTTTGAGATGTGAGGCGTAAGTCTGAATGAAACAGGAAAGAACAGAGTACAAAGAGATCTTTCCTGCCTGCTAGAGACAAGCAAGGGCAAGGGATCTGAAGTGACAGAACCCACAGCATTGAAGGAGTCTAGCCAACATTTACTAAATGACAGAAGGGCCAGGAAAGAGGTGTTAGGATTGGAGTCCTGAAAGACTTTATTAACCTCAAGCATTTAGAGTTTTAAACAGAGAGAGTTCCAAACAGATCTCTAGATGTTCTAGACCAGCCTTTTTGCAAACTTTCCCATTTCAATGCTTCTGCTTATGTTTCTCCTTGCTGAAGCATTCTTTTCTCACTTTTCACAGAACTTTCTCTAACCCTTCAAGTCTCAGTGTCAATGTCATTTCTCTAAGTTGTCTAATGTTAAGTCCTCAATACTCTCTACTGGGTACCTTTCAGAAATCTAACACTACCTATTATACATGGCTTATTTTATTTTGCTGCCTCCTTTTCCAACTGAAGTGCATTGCTTCTCAGCGTTTTGGCTAAGATCAAGTGTAGTATCTGTTCTCATCAGTTTAATATCTGATACATCCTCTATCCAATGGAGGTGCAAATTTCATGGAGTCAAAGGTCTTCCTGTTTTGTTCAATCCCATCACTTCAGCATTTGTCATTTAGCAGATTTATTAAAAGTTTGTATGGAAATGAATTTATTGAATGTAGTCACAAAAAAATAAAGATGTTGCTAAATTTTCTGAGTGCATAAAGAATATAATGATGATAAAGCAAGTTTTCAGAGAAAAATGATGTTTTAAGATTTAGTTTATTGGATTTGAAGACACTAGAAGTAAAACAAGGAAGAGCTGAGCCCCAGGCAGATTTCAGAGTCTTGGACATATAAATCAAAGTAGGTAACCATAAGAGTAAATAAACATTAGGTACAGAGAGTTAGAATATAAAAAGACCCAACTCAGTGTATTTGAGAGGAAAACTCAGAAGTCTGACCAGAAGTTTTAATAATTAGAAAGATAACTATCAAAACCTGCTGTAGAATAACAGCATTTCAAGTAGTAATAAATGGCCAACATGGCAGACTCTATGAAAACATCAAACAAAACAAAGGGTAATAGAGTCTTGGATTTGGGGACAAGAAGGTCTTTGGCAACATCAGCAGGAGCATCTTGTAGACTGCAGGCTGAGTAATTGGCAAGGGCCATCAGTTCTTTGACAGTGGCAGCTGGAATTGTTTTGTGGGGATGATAGAAACTCCCTGGTTGGTGAACTGAGTTGGGTAGTTCTTTTCTATGATTAGACATAATAGAACATAGGTAAATTCTTATGAAAGAGAGCCTGAGAAAGAGGAAGAGGGTGAGTTGGTAAGCTTTCTCTGAATACTTCACACCACAGGCCCTTCATGGGGTAAGGGGCATGGAGGCAAAGGCCAGACAGGCATGTTATGCTTGCTTTGGAAAGAGGATCCATGCAACTGTGAAAAGAGCAGAAGAACAAAAACAGATCAACTTTCAAGTAGTTTACAGATTTATAGTTTGTGGTGGAGTTGGAGAAAGTCCTTCATCATGTTGAATTATTAGCTCTGCTCATCTTGAGGGAACGTACTTACTAATTTTACTCACCTTGTGCCCAGACAAGTATCTAAGACATACTAGCTGCTGAACAGAAGTATCTTGAAAATATTAACAAAAAATGAGGAAGTACCATAGGGCATACATTTAAACTCCATAACTTGATGTATAATAGGTAAATAAGCCTATATTCTTATAGTCCGTTAAATCTTGCTATAAATTATATTTAAATTTGTCTTAAATTTCATAAATAGGAGCTGTTTATGAAACTTACATAGCTATGTTTAATAGGTTGGGGCGATATTCTCAATATACAGTTGTACTATAAATTATCTAGGTCAAACTACGCTGCTAGAGAGATTTAAGATCATCCATATTACCCAATGATAACACCGACATCTAGTGGTAATTATTTTTAATTTTGGTTAGCTATTTCATTCTCCCAAAGGACAAAGCTAGTTTTAAAATTATAATATTCCATATAATCACTAAATCATATACTAAAGTATTTTTAGGAAAATTCAGAAAAATACGATGAGTGGGGGTATTTCTAAATTAAATCCTTAAGGGGCCAGGGAGATGGCTCAGTGGAATATGCGCTTCCCTGGCAATCGCAAGGGCCTGAGTTCAATCCCCGGTTCCACAAAAAAATAAAAAATAAAAAATAAAAATAAAATTAAATTAAAATAAAGTAAATCCTTTTCTCTAAAGAAAAAGTTTAGATTTTGAACGTGAACTGCTTAAGGCTTTCGACTGAAGGTCTAATTCAGTGGAGTCCACAGTGCTTCTGTAGAACTCTTGCACCACAGGCCTTTGTAATTATGTGCTAAGTGGATTCTGCAGCCACATATTTTGCCGTTCTTCTATTTATCTCTTTATTCAGCTCTAAGGGACTTTGCACCATCTGACTTACTATTTACTCATTAATTTATTATCTGTGTCCTCCACCAGAATGTAGGGCCCATTATGGAAAGGGTTTTTATATTTTTTTTCCTTTTTGTAGTAGTGCTCAAACTTAGAATTATTGGCTTTTTTGGAAGATCCATGAAACACTTGTAATGGAATTCAAAGAATTTGAGATTAATGAGTTTAACAACATTAAACAAAATTATCTGTGACATTTTCCAGTCTCTTGTTTTCATTTACTGCCCTTTTTCTTTTTAAACAAACATTTACTTAAGAGACAGTATGGTAGTAATTGGTATGTCGTGACAAGCAGTACATATTTAGAAGACTAGAATGACAGGCATTCCAAGCATGACCTTACCATTACACATTGCTATCTTCAATGTTTAGTTCACAGGTATCAGCATATATAGTTAGTCAGGGTGAGTATCTGTTACTCAAAATAGTTAGGCTAGATATACAGCTCCATTCTCTTAACTCAATGACTAGAGAAGTTTGTTCTAATAGTGTTTGAGGTAGGATATCAGGTCTGCATCTTGCACAATGAATAACCACTAAGACAACAATATGCAATGCATTAATTATTGAAAATGTGCCAGTAATAAGTTGTGAAACTGTCTCATTGATATATGTTTCTCAATAAAATTATTTTTAAAAAGCCAAAATGATCTAAGAATTTCTAGACCCTTTATGATCCTAATATGAATTCCAAAGGAAGGCATACTGCATGTCCCAAATACCCATCTTCCTATCCACCCTCATCATACTACAAGGTTAATGTTCTACTGAATATGCTTTGCCAAAGGCTGGCATGATTCACTGACTTAAGCCTCAATTCATTCCCATTAAACTATGGGACCATGGATATGACCTGTGACACCTCTATTTAAAAATATGTGTAATTAACATGTATACATGTAGAATACTAAATTGAAGATAAAACACAGAGAACAAATTGCACCTTTGCTGTGGAGCCAAGTAATTCAAAGAGGACAAAAAATCAATTCCAGGGAATGACTGTACCTGACTGTTTAAGTGACATGTCTCTGTATCCCTTCTCCTTCTGACCTTAAGGATTATCACAATGGAAGTGCAGGTCACACAGTAGGTTTTTAAAGAAGCTTACCATGTGAAGAAATAAGAAAAGCAAATTATTTCAAGTACTTCTTAAAGCAGCAAAAATCTTGTGTGATGATCTTTAGGGATGATGCTTGCAAAAATGCATCATGAAAGATCACAACCTCATAACATGTCAGCCTCATTTTGCCTCCGCAAAGCTTTTCCTGTTTTATTCTATTGTTATTTTAGTACCTTTCTGAGGCATAGAGAGGATCCTTTCTGGAAGCTGATTACATAGTATTGTCATCCCAGCATGCTTACCATCTTTCATGGGGAGAATGGATTGTTCACATGGACATGCACTTTGTTAAACCCTTAGAAACATGGAGTAATTCAGCAGAAAACTAAGGCAATACCATGAGTTGCCAGCCAGGACTAGAATCTTCCCAGCAAAGTTAAATTGCCTGTCATCTTTTCACATATTGAGCTACTCTTAGATTTCACGTTATTATTAAAATCACTGTATTTAATAGTCAGTTTATTAAAATAGAAATAATTTTTAAAAACATAACTAAAAAAGTGAAAGTCTATGGAAATTTGAAATATACCTATTTCACTGCCAAAAATCAATCACCAGTCTTAGCCTCAAAACTCTTCCTAGAAATCCTAAAGATGGACCAAAGCAGTTCAAATCATCCCCAGGACTCTATTTCTCTATAATTAGGTGTGTGGCAGTATGTTCTCATGGAAAAGATAAAGTGTCCAGATTAGATTTCAGAACACCTGTGCTGAAGTCCCAGGTCAGCCTAATTAGTTCTCTGGCCTGCCCAATGCATGGAGCCTCTTGGGCATGTTTGGGGGTTGTAATTCTGGCTCTATCTTCCTCACAGGCTTGTGAAATAACAGATACGGAGTCATCTTTAGAAACTGCAGGTGCCACAATCCACAGCACCATGGCAACGCAAGATAGACGCAAAAGCCAGTTGTGAAACAGAGCTTTGGATCTGCTCTGTGACATTAGGTAGGCCGGCCTATACACTGGCATTTTCTGCTTCAATCCATCTGAGAGCAACGTGGAGGGATACTAGAACAGCAAGCTCAGATCCTGGCTGCATCGCTCCTCAGGATATTAAATAACAACAAATGATACTTAATTCTCTGTGTCTCTGAATTGTTGACAATGACTACTGATAGTATCATGTTGGTTTAAGACTCTCATATATAATTATATTAACTAATCATATTTATGACCAGTTCTGGTGTTAGTTTTACAGACAAAAATAACTGTTATGTCATTTAATCTAGCCTTGCGCTAACTGTCTAGCTGAAGCTGCCTTCAAATTCATGGCAATCGTCCTGCCTCAGGTTTGCAAGAGGAAACACTATTACTATGCCCGAATTCTAGCTATTATTGATTGAAAAAACTAAATAACCTTGAAATAGAAGTTTGGGGAATGAAAGCAATTGCAGGCTCACCACATGTTGAAAACAGAGCTGTGAGGCTAATTGTGTTAATTTGACTCAGGTGAGGAAGCTCCATTACTGCTGATATATTATCTCTTGGGATGTCTTAGGAGGATGTCTCTTAAAGACATTATCATTTGAAATGGTGGGTGGAGGAAAGAGTATGTCCCTTTTCTGTGTAGAATCCATCAACGGCCCAAATAAAGCAGGTGGGAGAAGGCTGAATTCATTTACTCCTTTTGAAGTTGGGCATCCAGCTTCTGTCCTCAGACTTCAGCATCTGGTCTCCTGGTTCTCAAGCTGGGGCTCACACCATTGGCTCCCCTTTTATTTGTCTTTAGACTTGGGGCTGCTGGGACATTGTGAGTTTCCTGGTTTCCGGTTGGAAGAGGGTTTAGCCTTCATGTGAACCAACACTTCATAATAAACATTTTCCTGTGAATTCTTATTATGTGCATCTAGACTTAGAGAGATAGAATCTATAGACTGTATTACTGTACTTTGAGGAACTCTAATATAAGAAAAAACACTCTTTTCTTCTGGCCCACTGCTCCTTTATTTGCTGCGCTCATTTCCTAGAAACACCCACAGTCTTTTTTAAAACCTGTTGCCCTGGCACCACATGCAGCACTGGCCCTGCCCCCAAGTGGCCACCGAGTCCAGGCGAGGTGGTGCGCGCCTGTAATCCCAGCACTGGGGA